GCCCTTTGTGTAGCTTTGTGCTTAATAATAAACAACAACAACAACCACCCTGGAATTTCAGAAGAAAATTTATTTTAATAATATATTACAACATGTATTAGAAAATAATACTATTTAAATATGAGTGACGAAATTAGGTGTCCATAAATAAACCAGAAGCAGCCAGAGCAGCGCATTCAAACTTTAAGGCAATAGCCTGCGCTGTGCGATGGCTATTACGTTCGCAGTTTGTGGGCTTTACCCTCTCCTGGAATAAATTCTGCGAACGCCCATGCTAGTAGTTCCCCTGAAATGCTATGCTATTTGCTGCTTTATACTGCAGTAACTTTACTAACCACAGAACAACTATGCTTTAATAACTGGACAAATTAAGATGATATTTTTCAGTTAATCTCGGAACTTGTTAAGTGTTTGTTGTTTATCAAATTGGAAAGGTCGGTGACACAAGTTATCAGACTTAGTTTACTTATAAAAGCAGCATATAGCCTTCGTAGTTTAAGTGAACTGAAATCATCTAATAATAACCCAACTGTATTCACTGAGATAAAAGAGGTCGACGCTCGATTCACTTTCTAAAAGACATATTTTCAATTTGGTTAGAGTGAGGTTTAAAGTTGTATATACGTGTATAGATATTTACTACAAAATATCACATGAAAACATAAGCGTTTTTGTAAACTTTATTTTTCACTATAATACAGTTTTTTTTTGGTGGTTGAATTATTTTCATGTGTTCAAACAGTAGACATGAAACATCTCTGTAGATGTTTTGTGTTTTGACAGTAGACTGGAGTAGACTGTTTTAAAACAGGATTTGAGAAGACACGCCTATTTAAGAAAGGAGATCCACGGCATGTTTTATAAAGTCTTTTGCACTGTCAGCTACTAACTTTACAGTATGTTTAAGGAGGTCTTCCGCATGAGGACCAATGGTCTTAACATCTTGAGCGAGCTTATTGAATTTCTCCACAATAGACAGCACTCGGACTATGGTCCCCATGCTAGTCCCGTCAGTCAACTTGCCTAACATATCCAAGAAACCATAACCTTTAAAAGACAAAAATGCATAATTAATTGAAAAGCACCAAAGTATATTTTAAACAGCGCAGTATATGTTTTATCTGAACAAACTTAGAAAGAGGCTTTATATAGATGAATTATCGATCTATGATCATATATGATATTATTGATTTTAGTTGCAGTGGAGTAAATGTAACTTGACATTAAAAATTTGTATCGCTTGAGTTAAATACAAAAAAAATAGGTTACACTTCTATATTCAGTTGATACAATTCTGATGGCACATGTTTGTGCTAAGCTCGTGATTTCACATTATTAAACATTTTCCTGGAAGACTCGATAACTATTTGCGAGTAAAGGACTGTATTGAAAAATTAAATCTTAAGATTATTTCGTACTGAAAATAAGTTTGTATTAATAGATTCCTTGTGTTCTCTCTCTCTCTCGATATGTTCTTCTGCATACTGAAATATAGGGTACGTGAACACGTGGCTAAGGCTCAACATGACCTCATGCATAGTGACCTCACTTCCGAGGTTAAGATCATTTTAAGGTTAACTTAAGTACTAGTGTATTTATTTCTTCCTATTAAGTTCTGACGTTTAAGTTTGAGAATCTGAAAAACATTAAAAACACTCAAAACTGAAGTAATAAAAAACACCTAATTTTTGAACTTTATAGAGAGATCACAGCGATCTGAAAAATGGAGAAAGAATTTAGAATACATATTATAACCTATTCTGTGAAATTTTCATCCGAATTATGCATAAAATGAGAAACATATTTTTTTTCTTAAATCGCACATACAAAGAGGGAATAAAATTATTATACTTGTTAGTTAGATTTGATTTATCCCAATAACTTCCCTGTCGAGATGTTATTCTCAGAAGAAAACGAGAGTACCTAATTTAGTTTCTTGGATTATTCAAATTTTGCTGCTAAAACAAAAACTTAGAATCACCCTACTAGGTTTGTTTATAATTAAGCACAAAGCTACACATTGGGCTATCTGTGCTTTACCCACCACGGGTATCGAAACCCGAATTATAGCGTTGTAAGTCAGCAGACATGCCGCTGTGCCACTGGGAGGCATCACCCTACTAATTGACTGGAACCTGCACACGAGAATAATATCACGTTTAAAATGGCTGAAAAATTAAATTTATTCTATAAATTACAAAATTACTTCTTTGATTGTGATATTCAGTTCTTTGTTAACCACTAATACAGTGAAACTAGTTTGCTGCAGTGGAAGTAGCGAATCAAAGAATATATTAGAAGTATTGAATCAAAGTTTGATTCGATACTTCTAATTTATTCTTTGATTTGCTACTTCTAATATATTATTCTTTGATTGTCTAGTTCTAATTTATTCTTTGATTGGCTACTTCTAATATATTCAAATTAGAAGTAGCGAATCAAATAATAGATGACTAGATTAGACCTTTGCGACATCTTTCCTTCACTGAAATTCACGTTTTGAAGAATCAACTATACAAAATTATTCTTAATTACAAGCTGATCATTCACGGCGTTATATTGAAATATTTGGCATGTCTTGTATTCTTCATTAATGTATAAGAAGACAAGACGAGAAACAAAATATGAAGAAAACAAAACTTCAAACATATAGGAGGAGTGAACGTTCTTTATAGTCGCCATGAGAAAGCTATATACTGGATAGTTTTTTTTTCATAGTGAATATAAAACACGTTCACCCCATCTATATGTTTGGTAATTTTCACTATGATATAGGTCCAGCTATTTCTCTTTAGTTTACTTATGTTCAGGGTTACTGATGAAGAGTGGAATTCTCCGAAACTAGTATAACCCAAATAACACACGTTGATCAAAGTGTAGATTGGACTGGACCTTCCTTGAACTTAGACTTTGAGTTCAATTAATTTTCTGAATACTAAGTTTATTTATTACTTATTAAAACAAAACTTACCGACGCCTAGTAATTCCTTGATTTCATGTAAAACTTCTCGGATGTCTGCCAATATTTCTTGAGCTAAGTCTTTGACTTCAAGGTAGATTTCGGGAACTTTGGATTTGATGTCGTTGATAGCTTTTTCAACTTTGGTGACCAGGTCCAGAATCTAGCCAAAAACAACAACAACAACAACAACAAGAAAAAAAACACTCTGTAATCTTCATTCGAGTTAATAAAAGATGGGTAAGCGAAGGCGATACAGCTAACCCTTAACAGTATATATCATTTTGTTTAACGTTCTAAGGATTTGTCTTATGGCCAATTTACATATCGAAAATGAATGTTAAACAACATATTTATTCCTTCACAAAATTGTTCATGTTCTACCTTTTGTAAATAAAACAATGTCTAAAATTACACTGGAATTAGTCATTTATTTAGACTATCAGAATATGTAGACAACTTGGAACTACAGTGAAGTCACGACTAACGATAAATTAAAGAGTTGTTCCACGCACGACAAAGGTAGATTAACTAAAAAGTATAGAGCTTTAAATTTGAATTTTAAATAGCTTCAAAGCATTGGTTTTTAAACACATTTTTCTAAACTATTTATGCATTAAATTCCTTATAGGTGCACGATTCTCTTCGTAACAAGGTCCCTAATAAAATACGAATCGTCTCCGTCCACGATGGCTCAACGATAAGTCTGACAACTTATAACATTAAAAATCTGGCTTCGATACTCACGGTAGATAGAGTACAGATAGCTCATTGTGCAGCTTTGTGCTCTATAACAATCAAACAAACATACGAGCCATAAACATTTCAAATAAAAATACTATCAATATTGTAATTAATCCCACTAATTACTGCTAGGGTCCTTTATGTATTTTACATAGAAAATGAGTGATTTCAATAAATTTTTCTTCCAATAAAGTTTGTTTGTTTGTTTTTGAATTTCGTACAAAGCTACACTAGGGCTATCTGCGCTAGCCATCCCTAATTTAGCAG